GACGGCCCCGCACGTCCCCTACTAGTCGTAGGTCCTCCCATGGCTCCCGATGGTCCTCCCCCGTTCAGCATTGGACAAGAGGATTTGAGGTGGCTCGTGCTACCGCATTTGTAACACCGGGGTGGTTCATTGCACTTCCCCGCATGATTCCTGCCGCAGTTTGCACACCTCGGTGACCATGTACTCCCTGGTTTGGCCCCTTGCCCTCCTGAACCTTTGTTCCTTTTCGCCGGTGGTGTCGGCGCCCTGAATGAACTGCCACCCCCAGCATGATGCTTCCGGGAGTGGTCTTGGGGTCCAGCGTTTCCCCATCTTCTTTTCTTCGCCTCCTCGGCGTCCCTCAACTTCCTCTCGTTCCATTGGGCTTCCCCGAGGAGCCCCTGATCAACGATTTGGCTAAATGTCATACTGTGATGGTAAGTAGCCCGGTCACGGATGTCCAACTGTAGAGCATCCCAAAAGTGATTGGCCATACGATTTTCATCCAATGAGTATTCTGGGATGAATCGTGCCAAGTCACGGAACTTTTGTTCCAATTGCCTCACCGAGCAACCATCCTCCTGTTTCAGGTTCGTGTACTCTCTTCTTTTGAGATTGACCTCAAAAGTTGAGTAGTATTGATTGTAGAACTCCACTTCGAATTCCTCCCAAGTGGCTTCACCGTGGAACTTCCCCTCCACGCCTTCCCACCATACAGCGGCTACCCCTTCTAGTAACCTGGTGGCAACCCTCAACTTCACGTCGAGTGAAATTTGCATGTCCCTAGAAGCATCATTCAGCTTCTTAATCCAGTCGGCGGCCTCAGATATGTCGCCCTTGCCATAAAATGATTTGCACCCCAAGGCCCTGGCCTCCTTGAGGTACTTGGAGATACGCACCATCGTGTCTCCTCCAAATGCCCCCGATGGAGCACTAGAAGCACCTCGGCTTCCCTGCCCCATGGTTTGCCTAGCCTGTCTAGCTTGGCGTCGCTGTTCCCGCTTTGCCTTATTCTCGAGGTACCATTCCAGTACCTCACTCATACGGTCATAATGAGGATCATCATCCTCATCTTCTTCCTCAAAGTCCTCCACGTTGTACGGGGTCTCCTCTTGCTCCGTGCTTGGAGCATAGGTGAAGTCGTCCGGTTCGGTGGCCCATGACGGGTGCACGGAACCGACGCGTGTGCTACTTGTCGTCGGCGTGGTAGAACGCCCACGACCCCTGCCTCGGCCTCCTCCTCGGCTTTGGCCCCGGCCTCTACCCCTAGAGGTCCGTGATTCCGCCCGAGTGGCATGCCCGGTGGCCCCCGGCACATGCCCTGTCGGGTTCCTCCTAGTTATCCTGCGTCCACCCTCCATTTCTGAAAGAAATAAGGAATGAGTCATTAGACTCGTTTCAATGTCAATTGACGGAGTAGTACAAAAGACACCACTTGGTCCAACATCATGGCCAACAAACTGTTAAGGGTACCGTCTTAACAATAAGAGGTCAATAACTTGGTTTCCAACGGTTCCTTAAGTACAAAAACTGTTGCTCATGGTTTTATTCAAAACTTTTTGAGGATAAACATATTGAGAGGTTAATTATATAGTTTAGAAATCGATGGCTCTGATACCACTTAATTGTCACGCCCCGGACCGCATCCGAGCCACGTAGACAACCGCCGTACAACCCGATAAGAACAACGACAGTTCATCCCTATTGAGTTGTACAAGGCGTCCGATTGATTCTATTGCCAAACCGATTAGTAAACACATACAATCAACATCAATATCATAATCAAACAAATGCGGAATAATAAAATGTTTGATACTTAGCCACACGTGGCAAACACGGGCACGCAGGCCCCCAACTGTTTTAATGAAAATATTGTTCAAAAATACATGAGCGGTTTATACATTTGAAATAAGAATGGAAGCACGAACCACGTCTTCCTTCTCGATCAGTCACCCTAGGCAAAGGTGCAGGTAGTAGGACTCTAGCCTCAACCTGAAAAATGTGAGGGCCCCCGGAGGGGTCAGTACTCCATAGAAGTACTAGTGACAAGCAGGCTATATGAAGAATAACTAATGTTTCAGACACGAGACCCAAAAATAGGGTGATATATACATATAGATGTCCCTCATCCACCCGATGATACATACTGTATATATACTCGTAAAATACTCAACCCGTAGGTCATTTACTTTAAAGAGTCTTTTAGAGATAAAGTTCTTACCTGACTTTTCTCACTCCTTCCCCGGTTATCTAGCTCACAAGCTATAGTCTAACTTTGATTCATACTACCGAGTGTTTTAGGATCATTTACCGTCCAAGGCACTCAACCCATCCTGGAGTATTTAAGATCATTTACCGTCCAAGGGTACTCGGCCCCACCTGGAGTATTCTGGATCATTTACCGTCCAAGGGTACTCGACCCCACCTGGAGTATTCTGGATCATTTACCGTCCAAGGGTACTCGACCCCACCTGGAGTATTCTGGATCATTTACCGTCCAAGGGTACTCGACCCCACCTGGAGTATTCTGGATCATTTACCGTCCAAGGGTACTCGACCCCAGTCTATTCTCTACCAAATCCTATCCTGGATATGGCTAACCTTTCATTCCTTTAACTATGGACAATTCCTAGCCCTATAGTCATATAACAATCCTTAGGATCCAACGTGGGCGGGTCCCACCCGAACGGCCCACATTAACCCGCTCAAAACTGCCCGTTTTGAGCATAACCCAATACTCGATCGAGTATTAACCCATACTCGGTCGAGTACAGGAGACAGTAGTCCACAAAGCTGATTTTCAACAAATACCCGGTCGGGTATGTGTCAATACCCGATCGGGTATGGCAGTTGACTTAGCGGTCAACGCCCCTTTTGACCCCCCAAACAGAGTCCGATTAACTTGAAATTTTATACACATATACTTCTTGATGTCCTTGATCCAAAAATACCATTTTGGATCCCTGGATCATCACACAAAATATGTTATCACATTTTTAATCACCAAACCTACATAACATGCTCTTTAACTATGTTTTGTGTATAATCATAGCATAAACACACACTTGGTTATCTTTAATCATCCCACAAAACATATTCCTGATTACTTTAGGTAATCTCATGCCTCACGCAAAAGTTATAAAGCATAAAGCCGTCTTCTCACCTTAATGAAGCTTATGAAGTTCTAGCCTCCCCGATTTAGCTCCGACGAAACTCCGGCGAACTTCAACGAACTCCGGCGACAACTCCGGCGACCTTTTCAACTCCGTGAAAGTTCCTCGAATACCTTAGACAAGTTACTAACAAGGTTTTATCATCATAAAACCCATAGTAATACAAATAACCTCCAAAAGGTTATTTTCCGGCGAACCGGTCACTTTGGCTTCTAAGTCCGTTCTTGGGCTTAGAACCACCTTCCAACCCCTCTTTCTACACATCTAAAAGTGTAGAACAATACTAGGGGTCCTTCATGTGATATATTGGTCATATGGTATATAAGAAGTTAAGGAAAAGTTGTTACAAGGTTATTACCTTGATTCTTCACACTTTCCCTAGCTTTTCCTTTCTTTAATCCTCCTTGGACTTCCTTTTCTTCCTTCTTGAGCTTGGTTCGAATGGAAATGGGGAAAATGAATATTTGCAGAGCTTCTCTCTCAATATTGATTAGGTTGGTCGGACATATGGGCTAAGGGGGGAGGGATATGGCTCTATTTTGGCTTATACCTCAATGATAGCCAAAATATGGCCCTACCTTGTCCTTTTTGATGTCAAAACCCCCAAGTCAGCCCTTCCCTGCAAAAACCCTGCCCATTTGGACGCCCAAACCCATGCCTTGTCTCATATAATTTCGTGGGGTGGCCCCCACTCATGTGGGAGGTCATCCCTTTAAATCCCGACGTGTACAATCGGTCCCGAAAGTTGTATTTTCCGGACTGTTTTAAGTATATTTTATTTTATCGGGTCAAATAAAATATAACACTTGTTCCCAATCCTCATTGGACCTTAGAATCAATATGCATTCCCCAACTTTAATTTAGAAGCCTCCGGGATCCCTTTTTGGGCTGTTATCCGATAATTTGCCGATACCGATAATCTGGCCCCATTTGACCAACCGGTCATCTCTATGCCATTACCAGGCCCAATTAGGATATCCATCACCATATACATATTATCTAGTCCAAGATTAATATAATATGTGGTCCCGATAATATCGGGCGGCCCCACATCCGGTGTGGGCCCCACGTGAATTTTACTATTCACGTAATAGAAACGATAAAAATTTACAATCACGTAAAAATGCTTTTATACATTTCTCAAGGTTCAATACATAATTTGGTACAGTACAAATACTCGGGGGCGGTGTTACACCTAGCACCTTGGGAGGCAACGGGTATGTAACACCGTCCCCAAGTATATTTACTTTTTAGTAAATCATGTAATAAACCTTGAATAATGATTTATGAATTTATGAGGTTGTAAATTTTTGTTAATTCTTTTGCGTGAATAGTAGATTGCACGTGGAGCCCACATCGGGAGCATGGACCACCCGATAATCCCGGGACCACATATTATATTCATCTTGGTCTAGATAATATTTATATGATTGTACATATTTTAGTTGGGCCATAGAAAGGGCATAGGGTTGACCCATCGGTCAAACGAGGCCCAATTATTGGTATTGGTAATTTATCGGATAACAGTCCGAAACGAATTTCGGAGACTTCTAAATTAAAGATGGGGAATGTACATCCATTATAAAGGCCTACAATGAGTAGGAACATGTGTTATATTTTATTTGATCCGATAAAATAAAATATAATTAAAACAGTCCGGGAAATACAACTTTTGGGATCGATTGTACAGTTCGAGACTTAATGGGATAACCTCCCACATGAGTGGGGGCCACCCCACGAAATTGTGTGCTCAATTAGACATGAGGAGACTGGAGTTGACAAAGGAAGATGTGGAGGAGGTAGCTTTGGCATCTAAGTACATGGAGGACCCCTTCCCATCACTTATTTTGTCATTTGAGACGAAATAAGTCACTCTCTCTCACACCTTATCTCCTTGCTCGACCAAACACACCCAAGGCAAAGAAAGAATCCCTGAAATTATTATCCTCCATAGCTAAGGAAAGCTCCAACAAGCAACGATCTCAAGGAAGAAGAAAAAGTTACAAAAGTAGAGAAAACCTTGAGAATAAAGGTGAGGAACTCCTTAACATTTTTCTTCCATATTTTGATTTTCATATGACTAATATACCATATGAAGTACCCCTGGGATTGTTCTACACGTTTACAAGTGTAGAACAAGGGGTTGGAATGTGGTTCTAAGTCCAAGAACGGACTTAGAAGCCGAAACGACCGGTTCACCGGAAAATAACCTTTTAAAGGTTATTTGTGTTGATATGGGTTTTGTGATGATAAGACCATGCTAGGGGCTTGACTAAAGTGTTTCTAGAGTTCGCCGGAGTTTCGCTGGACTTTGCCGGAGTTTCACCGGAGTATCGCTGGAGTTTAACTAAGAAGGGTAGAACTTCTTAGAGCTCATTTGAGGCGAGTGGGTGGCTTAATGTCTTGTAACTTTTGGGTTAAGCATGAGATTACCTAAGTAAATGTTATATGTGTTCATGATGATGTTTAAATGAGATTAAACATGTGATTAGCCAAGGTAATTAGGCTTGTATGAAATGAACTATTGAAAATATGCATGATTTGCGAAGTGAAATTGTTTATAAAAACATATGTGATATGTTTAGAGATAAATAATGCAGAATATGGTTGTTTATAACTTAATGCATGTTGTGATTAAGTTTGACACATATTGGATTTGAAATGGCGTCGATCATACATACAACCGACGCCGGTTTGAGCGGGTTTAGCCCGGCTCATATTATTTGATTATGAACTGGCACTGGTCAGATTTAAACCGGCGTCGTTTTGGCCTTATATTGCCCATATGTTGATTTTAAATGCATAAATTGCATGGATGATTTTGCTTAGGCCTTAAGACTTGGTTTGGTCTTGTTTATTGATTATGATATAGACCCTATCTAGTATGATATGTGGTAGATCACAGGTTATGTCGGATGGAGTACCCAAGGATCGGGAGGTATCCTCAAAACTCGGTTATGTCGGGTGGAGTACCCAAGGATCGGGAGGTATCCTCAAAACTCGGTTATGTCAGGTGGAGTACCCAAGGATCGGGAGGTATCCTCAAAACTCGGTTATGTCGGGTGGAGTACCCAAGGATCGGGCGGTATCCTCAAAACTTGGTTATATAGGGTGGAGTACCCAAGGATCGAGAGGTATCCTCAAAACTCATAGATTACTGTTTAGTAATTCAGGACCGGGCGGTGTCCTTATGATTATTTGATTTGGACAGGAGGAGTGTTATACATTCATAGGTCTATGAGTGGGTTGGGGTTTTAAGTCAAGGACATTGACTACTGTTATTTCCCAAATAAATAATGACCTACGGGTCGGGTATTTCCAAGTGTATATAAATACTGATACATATTTTGTAACTTGGGGTAAAGATGTATAAGTATATGTAGGGTTGGTTCGGTACGGTATACCGAAATTTCAACGTCATACCGCATACCGTACCGAAAATCCGGTATTGGTAAATGTCATACCGTTACCATACCGAAACTTTCGGTATACCGAATTTCGGTATACCGAAAATTCGGTACGGTATGTAACCCATACCGTTTTATACCGAAAATTCAAAAAAAAATAAATTTCTTGGCAATTCCGTATAAAGTATTAGCTTAAGGGGCCTACCGAACATTCAAAAAAACTGATTTTAAGAAGTCAAAAGTAGCATACAACATCAATACATAAACCGATACCAAAACTAAAACACAATATTTAATCCAAAGTAGAAAATACTAAAATTATGTGCTAATATCTCAAGTCTCAACACAATCCATAATGAAAATTAGAATATTTATCCAACATAAATCAATGATAACTAATGTTTGTAATAACAAATCTTTGAATCATTGTTGCAGCTCCGTATAAATAAGAGATTTTTCTACTTTGGTAATATGATGGTCGTCCGCCGTATAAATATTTTATCAATATACTTTATCATTTGTTTATAAATATAGAATGAGCATAGACCAGATTGTTCATATTACCGGGATGGTTAAGCTTTAGCAAATAATGACGATCGTCCGTTACTCCGTGCTTCGTCAATGGTGTCTTCGTCACTCGTCCACATCTCCATCGTCAATGCTCAATAGTCCACAGCTCTGTCACTCGTTGAAGAGAAGAGAAGCTGTTTGACTCTACGTTGATTTATTTGGGGAGAATTTGACTTTGCACCCCATGTTTTGGGTGATATTTGAGTTTGCACCCTATTTTCAAAATCATTAATGTGTGCACCCCAATTCACTATAAAATTATTTGACTTTGCACCCCACTCCTTCACAATTTTTGGGCTAATGGGGTGCATACATTAATTATTTTAAAAATGGGGTGTAAAGTCAAATATCACCCAAAACATGAGGTGCAA